GGATGTTTGACTTGACGTGTCTCTACCGGTATGTTTGACTTGACGTGTCTGCACCGGTATGTTTGACTGGGCGAGTCTGTACCATGATGTTTGACTTGACGTGTCTGTACCGGGATGTTATACTTGACGTGTCTGTACTAGGATGGTTGACTTGACGTGTCTGTACCGGGATGTTAGACTTGACGTGTCTGTACCGGTTAGATGTTAGACTGTGACGAATGTCTGTACCGGGATGTTTGACTTGACGTGTCTGTACCGGTATGTTTGACTTGACGTGTCTGTACCGGGATGTTATGACTTGACGTGTCTGTACCGGGATGTTATGACTTGACGTGTCTGTACCGGGATGTTAGACTTGACGTGTCTGTACCGGGATGTTTGACTTGACGTGTCTGTACCGGGATGTTTGACTTGGCGTGTCTGTACCATGATGTTGACTTGACGTGTCTGTACCGGGATGTTAGACTTGACGTGTCTGTACCGGGATGTTAGACTTGACGTGTCTGTACCGGGATGTTAGACTTGACGTGTCTGTACCGGGATGTTAGACTTGACGTGTCTGTACCGGGATGTTATACTTGACGTGTCTGTACCGGGATGTTATACTTTGACGTGTCTGTACCGGGATGTTAGACTTGACGTGTCTGTACCGGGATGTTAGACTTGACGTGTCTGTACCGGGATGTTAGACTTGACGTGTCTGTACCGGGATGTTAGACTTGACGTGTCTGTACCGGGATGTTATACTTGACGTGTCTGTACCGGGATGTTATACTTGACGTGTCTGTACCGGGATGTTATACTTGACGTGTCTGTACCGGGATGTTATACTTGACGTGTCTGTACCGGGATGTTAGACTTGACGTGTCTGTACCGGGATGTTATACTTGACGTGTCTGTACCGGGATGTTAGACTTGACGTGTCTGTACCGGGATGTTAGACTTGACGTGTCTGTACCGGGATGTTAGACTTGACGTGTCTGTACCGGGATGTTAGACTTGACGTGTCTGTACCGGGATGTTAGACTTGACGTGTCTGTACCGGGATGTTAGACTTGACGTGTCTGTACCGGGATGTTAGACTTGACGTGTCTGTACCGGGATGTTACGACTGTACCGGGACGTGTCTGTACCGGGATGTTAGACTTGACGTGTCTGTACCGGGATGTTATACTTGACGTGTCTGTACCGGGATGTTATACTTGACGTGTCTGTACCGGGATGTTATACTTGACGTGTCTGTACCGGGATGTTAGACTTGACGTGTCTGTACCGGGATGTTATACTTGACGTGTCTGTACCGGGATGTTAGACTTGACGTGTCTGTACCGGGATGTTAGACTTGACGTGTCTGTACCGGGATGTTATACTTGACGTGTCTGTACCGGGATGTTAGACTTGACGTGTCTGTACCGGGATGTTAGACTTGACGTGTCTGTACCGGGATGTTATACTTGACGTGTCTGTACCGGGATGTTATACTTGACGTGTCTGTACCGGGATGTTATACTTGACGTGTCTGTACCGGGATGTTAGACTTGACGTGTCTGTACCGGGATGTTAGACTTGACGTGTCTGTACCGGGATGTTAGACTTGACGTGTCTGTACCGGGATGTTTGACTTGACGTGTCTGTACCGGGATGTTAGACTTGACGTGTCTGTACCGGGATGTTAGACTTGACGTGTCTGTACCGGGATGTTAGACTTGACGTGTCTGTACCGGGATGTTAGACTTGACGTGTCTGTACCGGGATGTTAGACTTGACGTGTCTGTACCGGGATGTTAGACTTGACGTGTCTGTACTGGGATGTTATACTTGACGACGTCTGTACCGGGATGTTATACTTGACGTGTCTGTACCGGGATGTTAGACTTGACGTGTCTGTACCGCGATGTTATACTTGACGTGTCTGTACCGGGATGTTAGACTTGACGTGTCTGTACTGGGGTTGTTATACTTGACGTGTCTGTACCGGGATGTTATACTTGACGTGTCTGTACTGGGGTGTTATACTTGACGTGTCTGTACCGGGATGTTAGACTTGACGTGTCTGTACTGGGATGTTAGACTTGACACGTCTATACTGGAATACTGTCTGATGTTGACGTGTCTGTACCGACTTGACGTGTCTGTACCGGGATGTTATACTTGATGTGTCTGTACCGGGATGTTAGACTTGACGTGTCTGTACCGGGATGTTATACTTGACGTGTCTGTGCCGGGATGTTATACTTGACGTGTCTGTACCGGGATGTTTGACTTGACGTGTCTGTACCGGGATGTTAGACTTGACGTGTCTGTTCCGGGATGCTGGACTTGACGTGTCTGTACCGGGATTTTGGACTTGACGTGTCTGTACTGTGATGTTTGACTTGATGTGTCTGTACTGTGATGTTTGACTTGATGTGTCTGTACCGGGATGTTTGACTTGATGTGTCTGTACTGTGATGTTTGACTTGACGTGTCTGTACTGTGATGTTTGACTTGACGTGTCTGTGCCCGTTTAAGACCTGGACAAAATAACGGGTTTTATGAATTCATGGGTGAACAATTCAGTTGAGGCCTGGGCAATTTATCATAACGACTAAACAATCCATTTCATTATTTTTAATCATTCAAATTATTTTTTCAAATTCAAAGTATAATGAAACACTGAGTTAAACTTAAAAACAAAGTATCGTGAAGTACAACTTATGACACAAATTGTGTCTTATAAATGTAACAGTATGAAAGACGTCATCACATAGCGTGGATCTCGAAATATTAGTTGTGATGTCTCGAAATCACGTATGTCAAAATATTCTCCCGAAATCGATGTTTTAATTCATCCCATGGTAAAACAACCAATGCCAAATCTCGTTGTAGAACCCATGGGCGAAAGAAGCCAGAGGGCATTAAATAAGTACATTCATGGTACGTGTCGGTGGGATTTGAAACCCCGGAATATGTGACTCCGATGAAACCTTTCCTTAACAATTCAACTTTTTTTCTCCAGTTTCAAATGTGAAGAAATGCAACAATGTGACGCAACTCACTGTGTCGTGACGTCACAGTTTCGCAGTGTGACGGCATACTCGGTGATCACACAGCAAATATTGTCGGCATCAGGCTAAAACGTTGCACCATTTGTCAGACATAATCGGAATTTCCTCGAAGTGACTTGGCTTAAACGCGCTACAAATCTTATGGCATCCGTCGATCAAAACGGCACAAACTAAAATCTTATGGGGAAAAACGGAACCACAGTTTGTTATAAGATAATCGGATTGCAGATAATAAATACATCTACTATTATGTCGGAACTATCAAAATTTAAGAACAAGGATGTATTTTTATATTCAAGGATACAATGTGAAAACTACTTTATACGGTAACGGCGCATTGAATAACTCAACTATTAGTGATATTCTGAACTCATTCGGCAGTTCATTTCTAAAAGTAACCGCTTACAGTAATTATCAAATCTACGTATATATTCAATGTAAGGCAAGTTTTATATATTTGATTTTCTGCGGCTGCTCATTTCGTTGCTAGGCATATCCAACACTATACCGAACATACTTATTATTCAATCATTTATCTGTTATTTTGTCACAGTATTTTTCTTTTGTTGTCAAATTTTTTCAATTATGTATCCAGCTATTGGAACAATGTAATGGAGTTGCATCTATATAAGCCACTAGGCTTGTTCGCCTATCCAGGTTTCTTTGACGAAATAAAATGTGCTTAAACCAAATATATCTACTGTGCCGACAGTGATTGGAAGTGGGCATCCCATAGCTGACAATCGGATTGCAGAATGTTTAGATAGTAAATACATCTACTGTGCCGACAGTGATTGGAAAGGGCATCCCAATTAAGCGTGAAAACATCGCAACCTTTGATGTTTTAAGTACATTTACTCAACTGAAATCGCCCAGTGTCAAACTCAGTGTCAAAATGAAATTGTTTTTAAAACGCACAAATGTACCCATTGTTTACCGTCGCCGAAATACCTTAGTTGTGCGTGGACGTTAAATAAAGCAAATAACAACAACCCATTGTTTGTTAGTTTTTGGTTTTATGGAGATTTTTTTTCTTTTTGGGGTATACAGAACATAATAATTTTTCTGAATATACATAACATATATTATGCAAGCTTAATATTATTCATTTTTCATATTTTACCATTTTTATTAGACATTTCCTGAAATTGTGTCACTGCCGTTACGAAATTTGTAACATTTTGAAAAGAAAAAATCCAAAGATAATATTTATTTCATGTACATATATATTAAAATATCTAGTTTTACAATATAACATGGAGTTTTGAAATTGTAAATTTTTTGCTTATGAAAAAGACAAAAAAAATCAAATGCCACATCTGTGACATCAGCCACTGGAGTTGTGACACATGAACATTGAGTAAAATTGGGTGGTGTAAAGTTAATATAAACATATAGTTTCCCTACTTTTGTTACTGTAAAGTGTAGAAAAATATTGTGATAAGTTAGTTACCATAATTCTTTTGGTTTGATTTTGATTTAAGTTTGTCGGATACAAACATCTGACATAAATATGCACGGATTTTGAGAATGACTCATATGTTGATATAATCTTGCTGATGTTATAATGAAATGAAATAAAACATGAGTCAACGTCATACTTTGTTTTATATATGGTGCCGTTTTAGCCCAGAAATCAGAAGCCGTTTTCGCCAATATGGTGCCGTTTTCGCCACACAAATTTGGTGCCGTTCTGCTGTGGTGCCGTTTTAGCTATAACCCGTAACAAACAAGCCCATTTAAATTGAAAAGGAGCCCTAGGGAGACCAGAGATTCAGACCTGGGGAAATCTAGACTTGCTTCGTTTAGGGCTTTAGCACTACAGGGAAGGCTAGGCTGTAGGGAAAATAATGTGGTTCAGGGACTGTGAGACAGACTAGTAAAATCCGTGCACTTCGCGCCGCAGCGTATGGCCGAAGGGAGATAACTCTAAAATGTTTACTTCTTCCAAGATGTCTGCTCAATCCCACGTGTTAACGATAGATCATCAATGTTGTTGTTTACAGAGCTAAGAAGTCAAACTAACTCAAACACAGGTTTAACCATAGCAACTACCGAATAGGTAGGATAGTAAATAATGTTACTGGTCACATTATTAAAACACTGCACTGTACAATGAGGGAGGATATACGAAAAGAGGCTGTTCCTGGTTCAAATCGGTTGTGTTGTCTAGACTACCGATGTTGTGTGTATTCAGTAATAAGCATCTTCAATGCTTTAGTGTATTAGTATTAGGACGTACCTAACACAAATGCCATTGAAATCAAACGCTCAAATGTTTTGGATTTACATTCTCAAACATAATAGCTAACTAAGCAGGGTTCGACGTTAACATTTTTTTACTACAAGACCACAGACCAGTGAACTAGCGGGTGTTAAAAGTTACTAGACCTGATCTAAGACAATACTGTTGAAGACAAAACAAGGTGATATTTGTTATCAGCAGGTTTATATTGCATACAAGAAGAACAAACTTTATTAAACACAAAACTATGAGATAATTGTTTTCTTTTGTCCATTACGAATACTGTACATACCTTAACTTTTGATTTTAACGTTTATCATGAAAGATTAGCTTTCATGGTCTTTTTACACTTAATAAGCTTAATAACAGTCTCTATAATACTCATTGTAATAGATAAATCTGTGCAAGATTTTTAAAAAAAGAAGATAAACAAGTACTGTAATTTGAAACAGCGTTCATTAAATATCTACAGAACCAGTCGTACTAGCCAGACAGGATTTTAACTAGACCACACTAGCTATTTAGACAATGTTGTGTCGAACCCTGCTAAGTATAATACAAATACATTGGAAATGTCATTTCAAATGAGATGCATTCAAGTGTTTTCATAGATAACTAAAGTAGTGGGAGCCTCTACAGAATACATTCAGCATCATTTTATATTCAAGGACTCAGTGGCAAAGGATTGGAGATCATCTCTCCTTACCCCATAGCTCAACTGACAAGGATCGATTTGAAATCCATGAAAGAATACTGGTATTATTTATTGGGTGCCGAAGGGATTATATAAGTTCACCAGTTATTGTTTGGATGCAAAAAGAAATTGGTAAAAATTCTCTGACTCCCCAAGGACATTCAGCATGGTGGAACAGCCAAAGTACTGTCGGAAATGCTAGAAAAATGCTTTTCAGCCTTAATATCTTTATAAAGGTGACAAATGTACTATGTTGTCAATATATCAACTTGCCAATAGTGTACCTAATTTTATTTCAATCGATTTAACATTCCCATGCATTTAAAGGGCAGTTTACAGGAGAGAATTTGGTACCAAAACAACAACTCAAGATTTGTTCAGAGTTCAACAACAGAAATCTGAAATAGTCTTTACATTAATGCTAATAATACAGGCGGTGTAAAAATATGAATTAGCGTTTTCTTAAACAAATAAATGTTGAATGTTTCTGTTACTTTAATTTATTATCGTTTCTTTATTGAAGAAATATTAATATAAATGTTAAGTCTTGATAAATAAGTTTCCCGTCATGCATGCACATCTTTATCTCAGCGTTCACTATGGCCAACTATTTTCAGTCGATTGTTGCAAAGGTTTATAAGTTTTTTGTGCTGCGAAAAAGACAGAGGTATACCTTTCATTAGTTTAGAAAGGGTTTATTACAGAACTTGTAGAGCTGTTGGTATGTCTTACCAACAAGTTTACAATATTGTAAACAAATCAGATAAGACAGGGACCGTCTCAAGAGCAAAACCGGGACGTAAAACCATCCTTGACAACTTTGACAAGGGAGTGCTTAGACGGGCGGTCTACAAACTTTATGAGAAGAAGAATATATATAGTCTAAAGAAGCTACACCAGTGACTTAGTTAAATCTTTGGCCAATGTTCACAACTAGATTAAACTGACTGAATTACATCCATATTTTTGCGATGAAATATACTGTTGACATGCAAAACATTTATTAAAACGTTGCACATTTCTACAATCAATCGATAAGATAACACAAGTGAAAGGATTCTTTCCAATGTACAGTAATTCGTATGTTTATTTCAAAACAAACAAAAACACACACACACACACACACACACATATATATAGGTATTGTTGGTGTGCGAAATGTGGATATCACATGATCCCTTACATAACCAACACGTATACTATACGTACACATGTTCAACATTTTGAAGAAAACTTCTATTGAGATGACACCCTCGCCCGAGCGTGTGCTCAGGTGTCAATTTCACCTGGCGATACTGTGCATGCTGATGACGTAACACAGGCAGTTAAAGTTTGTATCAAATAACGTCCCACTACCGCTTATTTTTCTAAGTTTTTGGTATTTTCATAAGTAAAAACACATTTTAGGGCATGTCTCAAAATTTATTCCCTTGGTCTACATTAGGTAGATGTTTCTTAAAGTGATATTTGTTATTTAAGTAACTGTCATACCTCTGAATTTTAAATATGAGTCAAAAAGCATTTTTCTAGCATTTCCGACAGTACTTTAGCTAGTTACCTTCTGTTATGGTGACCCGTGAGGGTCCAGGTTAGAATATTGATCTTCAGTAACCCATGCTTGTCGTGAGAGGCGACTAACAGGATTTGGTGGTCAAGCTCCCTGACTTGGTTGACACATGTCATCGGTTCCCAATTGCGCAGATCGATGCTCATGTTGTTGATCACTGGATTGTCTGGTCCAGACTTGATTATTTACAGACCGCTGCCATACAGCTGGAATATTGCTGAGTGTTGCGTAAAACTAAACTCACTCACTCACTCACTGTTATGGTCTGTTGTAAATATGACTGTTGCCTATGGCGAGACGAGATAACGATGGAGTTCATGACACCTCATCTCATTGGTCTGAGTTGTCAGTTTTACCATCAGTAAATTACAGTAAATGTTCCTATTTCTACAGCTGACTTGAATTATTTCTTTTAAAACTGGACAGCTGTTTTGTTTTTCAGAATTATGACCCCATAGCTAAGCCCTCGCTTAAGAGGTGAAGCCTGAGTGGACAGATTGTGATAAGTGGCTGTTCCTTCCTCCTCCCCCAACATGGATCTCCTACCCCGAAGTCACACAGAATTTGTGTCAGAGGAGTACTGGGACAAGTTCTACAAGAAAAGAGGAGCTAAAGCTTTTGAGTGGTCAGTGGACTTTGTGGTGTCAGTCTGTTCATGAGAGTTTTATCTTGTGCCTAGACTGACGCAAAATTAGTCCCTGAATGTATAAACAGAGTTTAATTTAGGGTTTCAGAAAATAAAGTCACAGGGACACACAATGTTATTCATTGTCCCAGTCTATGCATTTCTGGTGTCCCCGCCAAATTGTAGAGAAATGGATGCAGAAAATAAATTCACAGGTGTTTGGTGCACAGCAGGGGCGGATTAGGGTATTATTCATTGTACCCACAGCACATGTATGAAGCCCATTTCTGCTAAGTGTTTGGTTGTTTTGCTCATTCAGAGCAGTTACGTGATTCATTTCATCCATCAGTCCACAAATAATGAAATCTAAACAATCAAAACATACAGTTCTGTACACCGTTACTTCACACGACCCTCACATTGCCTGCAAGGACCCTTTAAACTAATAATTATGGGTCCCTGGGACCCCCATGTTTGTGAGTCGAGGCAAACCCTGATAATTTTGATAGTAACACAAAAAACCTCTTTGACTGAAAATGAGCGCCATTGATTTGGGAGATTCTGGAACCTGGGGAAATCTAGACTTACTTCATTTAGGGCTTTAGCATTGCAGGGAGGGCTAGGCAGTAGGGAAAATAATGTGGTTCAGGGACTGTGAGACTCGTGCCCTGCTTTTCCTGTTTACAATTGACAAATAGCTCATCTATGGCTGAGAGATTAGTGTCAGTTCCAAACTGAGCCATGGGAAGCAATTTGTCAAAAACATATTTAGTTCAAGTCTTGATTTTCTTGTGAACATGTATTCTGGGGAATTGGGAATTTTTTTATTCAAATTTGGAATTTGTTTTGATTTTTCTCCAGATTGGGGACTAAATATCAGTCACTGAGCAGCTCAAGATATACCCTTAATGATTAAAGGAATATCTTTTGATCAAACTTGCTCAAATATGTAACATAGAAATACTTTTGATGTTATCTATTCTTACTTCGGGACATAATTATTGTGAATCATTCCATTCAAATGTAACTTAATTTCCTCCATTGATTTTGGGAGGTGGGGTGGACTAGTGGTTAAGGCGTTCGGTCGTCATGCCAAAGACCTGGGTTCAATTCCCCACATGGGCACAATATGTGAAGCCCTTTCCCAGTGTCACCCGCCGTGATATTGCGGGAATATTGCTAAAAGTGGTGTAAAACCATACTCCCTTCTTCTTGCTTACAAGTGACTTGATGGTGTATCTTTACTGTTTCTGGGTGGTTCATTAAAATCATATCTTAATGGCTCGATTCTCCTGGATCTCAGGAAGTACCAAACAGGCAATGCTGTTTTGTTTTGACCTTGTATGTAGGTAGGTATGGAGAGGAACTGGAGCTGTGTGGAGTTTTGTTCAGTCAGTTGGTTTTGGACTTGCATGTTGGTATAGAGAAATACCCAGGCCTGTGTGGAGTTTTGTCTAATGTTTTCATTGTGACATTGCATGTAGGTATGGAGAGTACCCGGAGCTGTGTGGAGTTTTAGGGAAGTATGTGCGACCCAAAGACAAGGTCCTGATGGTCGGGTGTGGCAACTCCAGACTCAGCGAGGACATGTACGATGTGGGCTACACCAACATTGTCAACATCGACATCAGTGACATCGTCATCCGACAAATGACGGACAAGAACAGTAAGCAGCGTCCGAACATGGCCTTCCACAGGATGGATGTCACAGAGGTGAGTTGTTTGTGTCAGTGACTGTAACATGTGAGTTGTTTGTGTCAGTGACTGTAACATGGCCTTCCACAGGATGGATGTCACAGAGGTGAGTTGTTTGTGTCAGTGACTGTAACATGGTGAGTTGTTTGTGTCAGTGGCTGTAACATGGCCTTCCACAGGATGGATGTCACAGGTGAGTTGTTTGTGTCAGTGACTGTAACATGTGTGCCTTCCACAGAATGGATGTCACAGAGGTGAGTTGTTTGTGTCAGTGACTGTAACATGGCCTTCCACAGGATGGATGTCACAGAGGTGAGTTGTTTGTGTCAGTGACTGTAACATGGCCTTCCACAGGATGGATGTCACAGAGGTGAGTTGTTTGTGTCAGTGACTGTAACATGGGTGTAGTGAGTTGTTCCATGGGTGAGTTGTAACATGTCAGTGGTTGTTTGTGTCAGTGTCACATGAGGTGAGTTGTTTGTGTCAGTGGCTGTAACATGGGTGAGTTGTTTGTGTCAGTGGCTGTAACATGGGTGAGTTGTTTGTATCAGTGGCTGTAACATGGGTGAGTTGTTTGTGTCAGTGGCTGTTACATGGGTGAGTTGTTTGTGTCAGTGGCTGTTACATGTGAGTCCCTTTTTAGCAATAAGATGGGTGAGGTGAGTTGAAGTGGTGTAGGTTGGCCACATGAACAAATGTACAGGATGTTGATACTATAGTCTGTTTGCAGTGAAAAAATACCGATGAATTTCACTTTAAACAAAAAAGTAAATCAAATAAAGTGAAATTTAGATTGCGAATCCTTATAATTTTACCTTGCCAATTGAACATTTAACTCTCAGAATTTTATTCAAATTATGATAAAAGTTGATTAACAAACGATCATATATTCAAATTGTTGTTATTGTTTTGTATTACAAGGGGGTACGCGCAGTAGTTGGAACAGTGAAACAAATGCACATCCTCTACGTGATGAGCGTTAACTTACACCAAACTTAAGTGTTCTCGGAGTTTCATTTAATGTGCATACCCCCTTGTAATACAAACTAATAATAGCGATTTGAAACTATGATCGTTTGTTAAACAACTTCAACATTGCACTAAGGTTACCTTAGTGACTTACAATCACCTTAGTGCTTTGTGAAAGGAGGCCCAGGTGTGTAGTCAAACAGACTTTTCCAAATGTATGCTGAAACTCTGTGTTCCAGGTGGAAGGGTCTAAATGATCACAAATAACAGTTCTATATTTATTTTAGTTCAGGATTCCCGAGGTTTTTTCCCAGGAATGTGTCTGCATGCCATCAGTATTGATATAATTTCTACGAAATACATGAAGGTCCAAATATACGTTTATGAACATCAAATCTGCAATCATGTGACCAGTTACAGGTCAAGTGGAAAAGGTTTGTGTCATTGAAACTTTGAAAAATTATGTGAGTTTGATTTGGCCACTGACTGTTTCAGATGACATTTTTGGATGGCGAGATTTCGGTCGCGTTGGACAAGGGCACCCTGGATGCCCTAATGGCCGACAGCAGTGATGGGGTTGTGGCTACTGTTGACAAGATGTTCGCGGAGCTGAGTCGTGTGTTGAGACTTGGGGGACGTTACATCTGTATTTCCTTGCTCCAGGAACATATCGCAAACAAACTCTTCTCATACTTCGCAGAGTTGTGAGTAAACTTCGATTCATCTCACAACATCAGGAATCTGTTAAACTAAGAAAGAATAATTCACAAATTGTTTGATTGGCAAATTTAATGTCAAACTAGATCAGTACATTGACATCCATAACATGTGATCATAGACTTTCTGCCAGTCCCTGAACCACATTCTTTTCCCTTCTGCCGAGCCCTTTTTGAGTGCTTAAATACTGAATGGAGCAAGTCTAGATTTCCACAGTTTCTGAAGCTCCCATCCCATTGGGAATTATTTGTTTCTGTAAAATGATATGTATTCAGAGACTAGGCGTTAGTTAGTCTCTTGCGATCGTGGAGCTTAGCAGAGGAGTCCAGTGGTGTCACTCTCCTACCCAGATTTCCGTGCGGCAAGCCAGCATAGTACCTCTGCCACAGGCCAGAAAAATGTGACGATTTGTCACATCTTGCAATGTCCATTCAATATCATGTACATATTTCTTAACTCTTTTATTTTTGACGAGTCTACATGTCTAATTAAACATCTTTGATTGAATGGTTTAGTTTCACTGAGAAAATATCCTAAAACATGTAACACTATTTCGATTTGCGTAGCAATCCTTTGTTTACATAGGTTGTACGGCTCCACGTGCTGTCATCAAAACCGACGGAGAGCAAACGATGCAGCCAGTTTGATATCGAAATATGAACTGTCATAAATCTTACTGTCGCAGTTGTGGAAGAATATACATGTAACAATGTAAAACGTGAAGAGCGCCGAAAAGCTTGCGTTAAGGCCGGTCTCTTCTTATTATGAATATGCACGTTTGTTTACAATCAAGAGAAAAGTCTGGTCACGTGATATGCAAATTAGCCTGTGGCAGTGATGTTATGCTAAGTCATCACTGTGCCGGAGTGTGCAGTGGTGTAAGCACTCACCCATCACACCCAAAGTAGGAGTTCGATTCCACATCTAGGTCCGCAGTAACAGATGTTTGACTCCATGAAGGGATCCTAAGTCAGAACAAGTCTGTGGAACTTGAAGCTTCCTTCCCTTTAGCGATTCCAAGTCCGAATAGATCCCAAGCTCTTACTCGTTTGTGTCCCTGTAGGAACCTCTGATAGAGGACTTCTGGAACATTTGTCTCTGTGTTGGGATATCAGGTCAGAATAGGTCCCCAACACCCAAATACTTACTTCCATGGCAGATAATGTGTTAAGGGTCACTTGTATGCCAGGGGCAGTGAGTTAGCCTAGTGGTTAAAGCGTTCACGCTGAAGGCTTGGGTTCGATTCCCCACATGGGTACAAGGTATGAAGCCCATTTCTGGTGTCCCCCGTAGTGATATTGCTGGAATATTGTTAAAATTGGCGTTAAACCCAACTCACTCAATTGTATACCAATCTCTCTTGAATCAAAAATCTCTTGTTTCTGTGATATTGCTGCAATGTATGTGCCTAATAATCCCCTCCCTTGCAGGGGCTGGCCAGTACGTATCCATCGCGTTGAGAAGGAAGCCTCGCCAGATGACCCCGACTTCTCACTGCCTGCCTTCGTCATCGTCCTCACCAAGTTCAAGAAGATGCCAAATATGTCTCCAGTATGTATCATGCTTTATTGTAAGAATGTTGTTTTCACTGATGTTCTCTTTCAGATAAAATGAATCCTGTCTCTCTGCTGACTTGCCTTAGGTCTTTGGTGTAGCAGTAGAGAATGCAAAATTTTATGAGATTAAATTCTATGAATGTTTGAAGGACCACAATGTCCTCTCATATCAAAAAGATCTTTACTCATCATCTTCTCACCGTCTCTCTGCGTATTTAATAACTAAAGAATTTGAATGTGTATGGTGAGCATAAGTTTGGGGTCGGTGGGGTAGCCTAGTGGTTAAAGCGTTAGCTGATGACTCAGTTTTGATTCCTCACATGGGTATAATGTCTGAAGCCCATTTCTTGTGTACCCTGCCAGTTCAAAAACGGTGTAAAACTTCACTCACTCACTCACTCACTCACTCACCTCACGTAAGTTTGGGGTGACGTCAAGTGACTGTTATTGCCTGGTGATTTGGGAGGAGTAGGATTTTATGACTGCTTCAATTGGTTTCAAATTCTCTCTGGTGTAAGGGAAATAACTCTTGTTTCATTTACTTTAAAAGTATATAGTATCACACCACCACAATATTAAAGCCTTATCATCTTATCGGAGGATACCAGAAATAGGCTCAAGCTTTGCAAATGGACAGTACTTTGATGGATTAATTATTGCAACTGATTGTTTATCATGTGTTTATTATTGCAGCCGTGGGGGTGGTCTTAAAGGTAAAAGTGTTTGTTTGCACACATGGGTACAATGTGTGAAGCCCATTTCTGGTGTCCCCCGTAGTGATATTGCTGGAATATTGCTAAAAGTGTAAAACCATACTCTATATTGCAGCTTTGGCTGACAGAAGTATTTTCATATCAGGTGTCATGCATTTCATCTATTAACTAGGGCGATGGGGTAGCCTAGTGGTTAAAGCGTTTGCTCGTCACGCCCAAGACTCGGGTTCGATTCCCCACATGGGCTCAATGTGTGGAGCCCATTTCTGGTGTTCCCCGCCGTGATGTTTCTGGAATATTGCTAAAAGGGGCGTAAAACTAAACTCACTCACTCACTCATCGATCTACTATATCCTTATTCTGAATCTTGCTTTCCTAATTATCTGCAAATGAATTGAACCAGTGATGCTGATAGCATTGCAGTGAGTATGCAGAGTTCCGTCCCCTATATATTCAAATTGTAGGGTTTCCTCCATGTTGGTCTTGTCTTTTCTGTCTGTGAAGATCCGGGTTAGAATTGACCTTCAGTAACCCGTGCTTGTTGTAAGAGGCGACTTATGGGATCGGAGGGTCAGGCTCGCTGGCTTGGTTGACAACTGTCATCATATCCTAATTGCCTAGATTGATGCTCATGCTGTTGATCACTGGATTGTCTGTAAATAACTAGTCCAGACTCAGTTATTTACAGACCGCCGCCTTATAGCTGGAATATTGCTGATTGTGGCGTTAAAATAAACTCACTCACTAACTCTTATTTTTTCTGCTCCATGCCTGTGCGCTTTACACAGACAGAATCCATTTCCTTTTGCACAGTTATCTTTTGAAGAATAAAGTAACAAAATGTATTCTTTAGACGCTTTATAGAGTCTGCAAGAAAGGTCCACACTTTTTTTCTGATGATGTAACTGGGCGGTGGGGTAGCCTAGTGGTTAAAGCGTTCATTTGTCACTCCGAAGGCCCGGGTTCGATTCCCACATCGGTAAAATGTGTGAAGCCCATTTCTGGTGTCCCCTGCCATGATATTGCTGGAATATTGTTAAAGCGGCGTAAAACTAAACTCACTCACTCACTCTGATGATGTGAGGTATAAATACGTATTTGACTGTAAAACACAACCCCCAAAACCGTCAAAAATGATGATGGATTTTCCTTCATCATGTTCTGTAAGGTGACGGGGCAGTGGGGTAGCCCAATGGTTAAAGCGTTAGCTCGTCACAATGTGTGAAACCCATTTCTGGTGTCCCCTGCCGTGATGTTGCTGGAATATTGCTAAAAGCATCGTAAAACCAATTTCAGTCAGTCAGTCTGTAAGGTGGCTGCAGAGAGATAATATAGTAAAACTGGTTCTAAATGAACTCATTCAGTCACTCCCTGTTAGATTTTAGAGGTGTGCAACGCCGATGACAAGATGGACCGCTACGAGGATGTGCCGGGGATGAAGACGGTCGTCAAGGAGATGCAGTATTATGCAGTTGTCAAGCATCAGATATCAAAGAAGTGAGTGAAACCAGTCAGAAAAGTGTGTTTGTAAGGGGCACTGTGCTAGCCTATTGATTCAAGCGTTTGCTTATCACGTCAAAGTCCTGGGTACAGTTTTTAACCAACATGGCTACAATGTGTGAATCCCATTTCTGGTGTCCCAGCTGTGATATTGCTGGAATATTGCGAAAAGTGGTGTAAAGTCAAACTCACTCTCTCACTGTCAAAATTCAAGATTCTATAACAGTAATATGTAGGTGAGGTGAGGTGAAATTGGGTTTAACGTCGTGCTTGAGAATATTTCGCTCATATGACGACGTGCATGTGTGTGTATGTGCGGCTGCTTGTACGAGCCCAGACTTAAGCTGGTTTTATAGTGCTAGCCCACTGAGATACCATGCCGCAGTGAAGCATGAATACCCCACTCAGACACATTATACTGACTCAGATCCGACCAGTCCTTGTTGTACCCATTAATGCCGAGCGCCAGGCAGGGACCAACAAGTACCATATTTTAACGTCTTGGTATGACGCGGTCGGGGATCGAACCCGCGACCTTCCACTCTCCGGGCAGACGCTCTAACCACTACACCACGGAGGCGGTCAGTAATATGTAGGGAAGCCGATACATTGATGCATCGGTACTTTTGCTAAGACGATACAATTATGAGCAAAGATGGGAAATTAGAGCTTTTTAATCTCTGAGAATAAAAAATGTTGATCTTTTATTTGACAGTAATAAAATATGAAATATTAAATCTCAAAATGTAACTAAATTTACGCAATAATGCCGCGAAAATGGGTATCGTGATACGTATACGTATTCATGAAACTTATGTATTGTGACATCTCTAGTAATACGTTTGTGGTTGTTTTGTTGTGAAGACCCGTGTCAATTCTCTACATTAATATAACGTGTGAAGCATATTTCTTGTGTCCCCCGCTGTGATATTACTGGAATATTGACAAAAGCTCACTTACTCATTTTTATCCCCGCATCGCATTTTGGAGGGGGTATTAAAATGGACTTTGTCCGTGCGTGCGTGCATCCGTGCGTCCGTGCACATTTGTCTTTTCCGAAGCAGAACTTCAAACCGTTCAATAATTCTTCACCAAACTTGGCACATGGATAGATCTGGTGGTGTACTGGTGTCTTCTGGTAGTTTTGGTATTCTGAATTAAATATTTTTGGCGTTTATATGGCAACAAGTTTAACTTAGACTGAAATTGGTTGTAGTGCTCTTTTCCGGAGCAGAACTCTAAAACCGTTCACTATTTCTTCACCAAACTTGGCTCATAGATTGGTCTGGCGGTGTACTGGTGCCTTTTGGTAGTTTTGGATTTCTGAATAATATATTTTTGGCATTTCCATGGCAACAAGCTTGACTAAAACTGAAATTAGTGGTAGTGCTCTTTTCTGGATCAGAACTCTAAAACCGTTCAATGTTTCTTCACCAAACTTGGCACATACATATATCTGGTGGTGTACTGGTGCCTTTTGGTAGTTTTGGAATTCTGAATAAAATATTTTGGCGTTTCCATGGCAACAAGTTTCACTTTGACTGAAATTGGTGATAATGCTATTTTCTGGAGCAGAACTTTAAAAACCTTTCAATACTCTCCTTCCACTTTTCTATATACACACCTAAATATTTGACATAATCGTAACTCGTAGACATAATCATGAAGAGTATTTTGCCATTGCGGGGGATATTGATGACTTTTTTCTTCTTGTTATCACCCGCAGCGCTTTTTGCGGGGGTTATTAAAATGGACTCTGTCTGTGCGTGCGTCCGTCCGTGTACATTTGTCTTTTCCGGAGCATAACTCTAAAACCGTTCAATATTTTTCACCAAACTTGGCACATAAATAGATCTGTGGGTCTACTGGTGATTTTTGGTAGTTATGGATTTCTGAATAAAATATTTTTTGCGTTACCATGGCAACAAGTTTGACTTCGACTGAAATTGGTGGTAGTGCTCTTTTCCGGAGCAGAACTTAAAATCTGTTCACTGTTTCATCACCAAATTTCTTACATAGGTAGGTCTGGTGGTGAACTGGTGCCTTTTGGTAGTTTTGGATTTCTGAATCAAATATTTATTTTGGCGTTTCCATGGCAACAATTTTGGCTTCAACTGAATTTGGTGGTAGTGCTACTTTCTGGAGCAGAACTTTGAAACCTTTCAGTACCCTCCTTCCACTTAGCTATATAAATGCCAAAACATTTGACATAGTAACTCGTAGACATATTCATGAAGAGTATTTTGTCATTGCGGGGGATATTGATGACTTTGTCTTCATGTTGGTCTTCAGTAACCCATGCTTGTCATAAGTGGCGACTAACGGGATCGGGTTGTCTGACTGACTTGGTTGACACATGTCATTGTATCCCAATAGCACAGATCAATACTCATGCTGTTGATCACTGGATGTCATCGGTTCCCAATTGCACAGATCGATGCTCATGCTGTTGATCACTGGATTGTCTGGTCCAGACTCGATTATTTACAGACCGCCGCCATATAGCTGGGATATTGCTGAGTGCGGCGTAAAACTAAACTCACTCACTTGATCACTGGATTGTCTGGTCTAGGCTTGATTATTTACAGACTGCGGCCATATAGCTGGAATATTGCTGAGTGTGGCTATAAATAACAAACACTATGTGTCATGGCCTCATGCAATCAATCACTGTTCTCCCAGCCATCATTTGTCTTATATTGCTGTGATGTTGGTAGGATGTTGGTGCTGTGCTGGACAGTGTTTTAGATTGCTGTGATGTTGGTAGGATGTTGCTGCTGCGTTGGACAGTGTTTTAGATTGCTGTGATGTTGGTAGGATGTTGGTGCTGTACTGGACAGCGTTCACGGTTGACATGATAGACACGATGTTCCGTGTTTGTTGTAGGAATGTGGGTGACGACCAGCCTTCCCTGTGTCTGTACAGCAGCGAGTCAAGTGAGCCACGGTACACGCTGTACGTGGTGGACAGGCCACACAAGACATCTCGACAGTTTGCTGTTTTCATTGTACCCCAGGGAAGGTAAGAAACCGATTGTTTGGAAACACTGTTGTAACTATAGTTATGGGATTCTGACTGTCAGGAAACACTGTTGTAACTGTGGTTAAGGGATTCTGACTGTCAGGAAACACTGTTGTAACTATAGTTATGGGATTCTGATTGTCAGGAAACACTGTTGCAACTGTGGTTATGGGATTCTGACTGTCAGGAAACACTGTTGTAACTGTGGTTAAGGGATTCTGACTGTCAGGAAACACTGTTGCAACTGTGGTTATGGGATTCTGACTGTCAGGAAACACTGTTGTAACTGTGGTTATGGGATTCTGACTGTCAGGAAACACTGTTGTAACTGTGGTTAAGGGATTCTGACTGTCAGGAAACACTGTTGTAACTATAGTAATGGGATTCTGATTGTCAGGAAACACTGTTGCAACTGTGGTTATGGGATTCTGACTGTCAGGAAACACTGTTGCAACTGTGGTTATGGGATTCTGACTGTCAGGAAACACTGTTGTAACTGTGGTTAAGGGATTCTGACTGTCAGGAAACACTGTTGTAACTGTGGTTAAGGGATTCTGACTGTCAGGAAAGACTGTTGTAACTATAGTTATGGGTTTCTGACTGTCAGGAAACACTGTTGCAACTGTGGTTAAGGGATTCTGACTGTCAGGAAACACTGTTGTAACTGTGGGTAAGGGATTCTGACTGTCAGGAAACACTGTTGTAACTGTGGTTAAGGGATTCTGACTGTCAGGAAAGACTGTTGTAACTATAGTTATGGGATTCTGACTGTCAGGAAACACTGTTGCAACTGTGGTTAAGGGATTCTGACTGTCAGGAAACACTGTTGTAACTGTGGTTAAGGGATTCTGACTGTCAGGAAACACTGTTGTAACTATAGTTATGGGATTCTGACTGTCAGGAAACACTGTTGCAACTGTGGTTATGGGATTCTGACTGTCAGGAAACACTGTTGTAACTGTGGTTAAGGGATTCTGACTGTCAGGAAACACTGTTGTAACTATAGTTATGGGATTCTGACTGTCAGGAAACACTGTTGTAACTTTGGTTAAGGGATTCTGACTGTCAGGAAACAGTGTTTCAAATGTGTATCAATGAAACTGTCAGGAATCATTGTTGTTTTGTCACTTGGGTACCATTGTGACTGTTTCAGGGAAACTGACTGGCTGTTTTGCCAGCCTGCGGGAAGAAAGCAGTTGGCTGAAAGTGCTGCGTCAGACAGATTGGTTGTCGTCACGCTACACCGGACACACAGTTACACAGATATTGAGTCTGTCAAGGAGGAACTGTCAGGCAAAGTGATGGAACTGACGCCACCAAACTTCAAGCGAGGAACTCAGGTACTGAGTACAGAGGACTTGCAAAACACATCTTGCTCATACAAAATTAAAAATTAAAAAATATTAATAACAAATTGTGTAACTGACTCGTGATTGGCTTTTTATGAACATTTTTATGTTACTCAGCATGTACAGTGTGGGTAGTGTAGTGGTTTCAGCATCGACCTGTCATGCTGAAGGCCAAGGTTCGATTCCGTACATTGGTACAAGCCCAATCTGTGATATTTCCGAATATTGCTAAAAGATGGGTAAAACCCAACTCACTCACTTTCTCACTCACTCTTTCTCACTGTTATGGGGCTGTGGGTAGCCTAGTGGTTAAAGCGTTCACAAATATTGCTATAAGCAGCGTAAAACTTAACCCACTCACTCACTCACTCACTCAGGGTCGGGTCGTATCCCAATTGCGTAGATTGATGATCTTGCTGTCATCACTGGATTGTCTGGTCCAGGCTTATTTACAGACCGTCGCAATATTGCTGGAATATTGTTGAGTGAGGCGTAAAACTAAACTCACTCATTCACTCAAACATTTACCCACTTACCCACTAACAGACGTACAATCACTGATATCCCATCATTCACACATGCACGCACTTACCCACACATACTCACATTCACTGATATACCAACACACTCACTCACACAATTACCGAGACACTCACTCACTCACTCACTCACTCACTCACTCACTCACTCACTCACTCACTCACTCACTCACTCACTCACTCACTCACTCACTCACTCACTCACTCACTCACTCACTCTGTTACAGGTTCCATTCCTGTCTCTGGGGGAGGACATTGGACACAGACACTCGTACGCCCAGGGGACCAGTGAAATGAATGGAAAGTATGTGGTAGAGGACCTGGAGACAGAGGATGGGCAGTTTTACCGACGTCTCATCTTCCTCGACACAGCCAACATTGTGCAGTCGGAGGCCAAGCTGGTGGCAAGTGAGCACATAATTATCTCCCTTTGTCAATTATCTTCCCCTTATTGTACACTGGTCACATTTCTGGTTGATAATAATTATTTCTGACAATATTGTTCGAGAAAATCTATCCAAGTCAGATAGAGGGATGTACTAGGTCTGTCTGTTTGCGAGTTCTCGGAACTCTATTGACGGTTTGGGCCCACAGATATTACAGTAAGCCTTCCAGGAATTATAGTTGGGATCCAAGGTATTAAATTGGTGTCCAAGGTAAATAACCATTGAACCAACAGTGAATGCAGTACAAAGTGCACAAGGGTGGTATGTTATGCTTCGTTTAGAGAGACCTTTGACTAACTAATTGGATGGGCAGGCTTGCTGACTTGGTGTTTGCATGTCGTCATATGGATGTGGTGGTGTTTCAATGCAAACAGTCTGATATGGTATTGAAACTCAGACTTGGTGTTCAAATATTGATTGTATTTCCTATCAGAGCAGAAATATCAGAAAAATCAAAAGTATTTGTTTTAATTTAAACATTCTAACATACAGAGCTTGTTTGTGTCTGATAAGACTCACCATAGATATGATGTGTCCACTCACTTGGACTGATGTTTCAGAGTCCAAGAAGGGGAAAATGAAGGGCTACGAGCCATCGAAGTTGACCCTGGACAAGAGTTTTCTGGGATGTCAGCATCATATGGCCATGGTGGGGAGTCTGGCATTCCTGCCTCAACCTACAGGTGAGATACATAGAGAGTCTGGCATTCCTCCCCCTCCCCTGAGATATATGGGGAGTCTGGCATTCCTGCCTCAACCTACAGGTGAGATACATAGAGAGTCTGGCATTCCTCCCCCTCCCCTGAGATATATGGGGAGTCTGGCATTCCTGCCTCAACCTACAGGTGAGATACATAGAGAGTCTGGCATTCCTCCCCCCCCCTGAGATATATGGGGAGTCTGGCATTCCTGCCTCAACCTACAGGTGAGATACATAGAGAGTCTGGCATTCCTCCCCTCCTGAGATATATGGGAGTCTGGCATTCCTGCCTCAACCTACAGGTGAGATACATAGAGAGTCTGGCATTCCTCCCTCCCCTGAGATATATATGGGGAGTCTGGCATTCCTGCCTCAACCTACAGGTGAGATACATAGAGAGTCTGGCATTCCTCCCCTCCCTTGAGATATATGGGGGGAGTCTGGCATTCCTGCCTCAACCTACAGGTGAGATATAGAGAGTCTGGCATTCCTCCCCTTCCCCTGAGATATATGGGGAGTCTGGCATTCCTGCCTCAACCTAAAGGTGGGATACATAGAGAGTCTTGCATTCCTCCCCCTCCCCTGAGATATATGGGGAGTCTGGCATTCCTGCCTCAACCTACAGGTGAGATACATAGAGAGTCTGGCATTCCTCCCCTCCCTGAGATATATGGGGAGTCTGGCATTCCTGCCTCAACCTACAGGTGAGATACATAGAGAGTCTGGCATTCCTCCCCCTCCTGAGATATATGGGGGAGTCTGGCATTCCTGCCTCAACCTACAGGTGAGATATAGAGAGTCTGGCATTCCTCCCCCTCCCCTGAGATATATGGGGAGTCTGGCATTCCTGCCTCAACCTGCAGGTGAGATACATAGAGAGTCTTGCATTCCTCCTCTAACGTGCAGGTGAGATATATGGGGAGTCTGGCATTCCTGCCTCAACCTACAGGTGAGATACACAGAGAGTCTTGCATTCCTCCTCCAAAGTGCATGTGAGATATATGGGGAGTCTGGTGTTCCTGCCTCAACCTACAGGTGAGATACACAGAGAGTCTTGCATTCCTCCTCCAAAGTGCATGTGAGATATATGGGGAGTCTGGTGTTCCTGCCTCAACCTACAGGTGAGATACATAGAGAGTCTTGCATTCCTCCTCTAACGTGCAGGTTAGATATATGGGGAGTCTGGCGTTCCTCCCCTAACTTTCAGTTGAGATATATGGGGAGCCTGGCATTCCTGCCTCAACCTACAGGTGAGATACATAGAGATTCTTGCATTCCTCCCCCAACATGCAGGTGAGATATATGGGGAGTCTGGTGTTCCTGCCTCAACCTACAGGTGAGATGCATAAAGAGTCTTGCATTCCTCCTCCAAAGTGCATGTGAAATATATGGGGAGTCTGGCGTTCCTCCCCAACCTACAAATGAGATACATAGACAGTCTGGCATTCCTCCCCCAATGGACAGGTGGGATATAAGGGGAGTATGGTGTTCCTGCCCTAACCTACAGGTGAGATATATATAGAGAGTCTGGCGTTCCTCCTTAACCTACAGGTGAGATATATAGAGTCTGGCATTCCTCCCCAACCTTGAGGTGAGATATATGGGGAGTCTGGCATTCCTCCCCAACCTACAGGTGAGATATATAGAGAGTCTAGCGTTCCTCCTCAACCTACAGGTGATATATATAGAGAGTCTGCCATTTCTCCCCAACCTAAGGTGAGATATATATAGAGAATCTGGCATTCCATTTGAACCTACAGGTGAGATATATAGAGAGTCTGGCATTCTTCCCCAACCTTCAGGTGATATATATAGAGAGTCTGGCATTCTTCCCCAACCTTCAGGTGATATATATAGAGAGTCTGGCATTCTTCCCCAACCTTCAGGTGATATATATAGAGAGTCTGGCATTCTTCCCCAACCTTCAGGTGATATATATAGAGAGTCTGGCATTCTTCCCCAACCTTCAGGTGATATATATAGAGAGTCTGGCCTTCCTCCCCAACCTTGAGGTGAGATATATGTGGAGTCTGGCATTTCTCCCCAACCTAAGGTGAGATATATAGAGAGAGTGGCGTTCCTCCCCAACCTACAGGTGAGATATATGGGCAGTCGGTCTCAGTTTGTTGTCTGACGTTCCTCCCACAACCAACAGGTGAGATATATGATTAAGCCACAGTTGGAGTCTGGCATCTGGCCATCCTCCCCCAACCTAAGGGTGAGATAGATGGTAAGTGGGCCACAGTGTGTGTGTGTGTGTGTGTGTGTGTGTGTGTGTGTGTGTGTGTGTGTGTGTGTGTGTGTGTGTGTGTGTGTGTGTGTGTGTGTGTGTGTGTGTGTGAGAGAGAGAGAGAGAGAGAGAGAGAGAGAGAGAGAGAGAGAGAGAGACCTCCCTCAACCTACCGATGACACATCAGTGGAGTACACACAATTGTTTTCATTTCATGTCATAGTGTCCCATTGGTTGTGTATCAGGAAATTCCTAGATCATAAGTGTCCTGTCTGATCTTCAATAATACACCTGCAATGAATGGTACTGTTGAACCACTGACAGTAATGCTTGAAACTCACCTTGTGTCATGGTTGTTCTGTGTCCTACCCAGACAGAGAGATGTCCTTGCTGCTGATTGGCCTTGGGGGAGGAGGCTTGTCTGCATTCATCCACCATCACTTCCACAAGGTAGGCTTCCGAAGTTCTATACTTGCCAAGGTGTTTGGGTTTGAACCCCAGACTAAACCTTACCATGATCAATGGTCCCATGTAGGCTTACCAAGATGTGTGTGTTGGGACCCCAGACTAATTCCAATCATGATGATTTTGGATACAACGACATGCAGTTACCAAGTCAGCAAGCCTGAGAACCAGGTCCCCGTTTCACAACGCTATCGTAGTGCTACGACTGTTGTACCTCCTATACTGTAACATAGACTTATGACAGTCGTAGAGCTATGACAGCTTTGTGAAATGGGACCCTGGTCGTTTTTGTCACCTCTTACCATACACATGGGTTGCCAATCCTTTTTTATCCCCCCGGCATGTAATGCGGGGGGATATAGTCGTCAACTCGTCGGTCTGTCCGTCCATCCGTAATCAATTTGTTTCCGGAGCATAACTCAAAGACTGTTCGATATTTTTCAACAAAAATTGGTAGACATGTCAAACATAACCTAAGGTGGTGCCTTTTGCTATTTACAGATTATTGTCAATTTTATTTTTCTCGGTTTCCATGGAAACGTTTTGGACTTAGTCTTAAAGAGGGGTGGGCTTCGTTTCCGGAGCATAACTCAAAAACTGTTCAGTATTTTTCAACAAGACTTGGTAGATATATCAAACAGAACCTTAAGTGGTGCCTTTTGCTATTTGCAAATTTTCTGCATTTTTATTTTTCCCGGTTTCCATGGAAACGATTCGGACTTAGTCCCAAAAGTGTGGGGTTGGCTTCGTTTCCGGAGCATAACTCAAGAACCGTTCAATATTTTTATCCCCGCAACGCGTTTTGCGGGGGGTATTAAAATGGACTCCGTCTGTGCAGGCGTCCGTCCGTCCGTGCACATTTGTCGTTTCTGGAGCAGAAACCGTTCAATATTTTTTCACCAAACTTGGCACATACATTGATCTGGTGGTGTACTGGTGCCTGTTGGTAGTTTTGGAATTCTGAATAAGATATTTTGGGCATTTCCATGGCAACAAGTTCGACTTAGACTGAAATTGGTGGTAGTGCTCTTTTTCCGGAGCAGAACTCAAAAACCGTTCTATGTTTTTTCACCAAACTTGGCACATACATAGATCTGGTGGTGTACTGGTGCCTTTTGGTAGTTTTGGAATTCTTAATATAATATTTTTGGCATTTCCATGGCAACAAGTTTGACTTAGACTGAAATTGGTGGTTGTGCACTTTTCCGGAGCAGAACTCTAAAGCCGTTAACTATTTCTTCACCAAACTTGGCACATAGATTGGTCTGGCGGTGTACTGGTGCCTTTTGGTAGTTTTGGAATTCTGAATAGAATATTTTTTGGCATTTCCATGGCAACAAGTTTGACTTAGACTGAAATTGGTGATAGTGTTCCTATCTGGAGCAGAACTTTAAAAACCTTTCAATACACAATCCTTCCAAAACTTTTCTATATCAAACAGATCCTAAATATTTGACATAATTTGGCAGAATTTATTTATTTTTCCGGTTCATGGACTTCAGTCTTAATCCCAAAAGGAGGGTGGGCTTCATTTCAGTGTATAACTCAAAACGCCTTAATATTTTTCAACAAAACTTGGTAGATATATCAAACAGAACCCAAAGTGGTGCTATTTGCAGATTTTTGGCATTTTATTTTTCAGATTTCCATGTAAACAATTTGACTTAGTCCCAAAAGGGGGGGTGGGTTTCGTTTCCGGAGCACAACTCAAAAACTTCTTAATATCTTTCAGTAAAACTTGCCAGATATGTGAGGCAGATCTTGAAGTGGTGCCTTTTGCTATTTGCAGATTTTTGTCATGTCTTTTTTTCATGATTTCCATGGAACAATTTCCACTTAGTCTAAAATCAAGCTGGACTGTAAGTAACTGTCAGATGATTTGTTCTTTCAAATATGTGGGGGCCGGGGGGATATGCCATCTTCTGATGACTCTTGTTTTCGATTGCCAATTCTTTTTCTTTTTTTTCGTTTGTTGATCCTACAGAAAAATAGTTACCGTTTACCTTATGTCCCTGTAGATGAGACAGGATGTGGTGGACTTTGACCCTGATGTGTTGGAAGTGGCTGAGAAGCATTTCTTCCTGAAGCAAGATGACCGTCTTAAAGTCCACATTGCTGATGGTCTGGAGTTCATACACAAGGCAGCAGAAGCAGGTGGGTGTGGTGCTTGTACAAAAAATGGCTCTCGGACTCTTGAGATGCTCCCTCATGGAAGGCCGATCCACAGCCTCACAGGTATATGGAGGTGTATTTAATCACTATTTTACTCATGTTTTCAGGACGCCAGTACGATGTAGTGATGTTTGATGTAGACAGCAAGGACCGGTCAGTTGGCATCAGCTGTCCGCCGGTGATGTTCCTCGAGGAGGACTTCCTGCAGGAGACGGCATCCATCATCCGTGACAACGGTACACGTAGAATTCACACAGTAAAGTTTCTGTAAACAGTCAGATTGAGGATATTTTGGCCTTATGTTGTGGTGTCCGGGATTTGAAAAGTTTGGGGAACAACACATGACTGGGGGATTATCACAGGTTGTTTTAATCTACTTGGAATTTGTTGTAGCACATGTATGTTTGCATTTGGAAAGTTTGGACTTTTGATTGGTTAAGATTGACGGTCACAAAGAGCTCACCAGACAGTGCGTCAAACCAGTATTCCAAAGGAATGCTACTTACAGCTCGTCACATTTTCTACAAAATTTTAATGGCCCTTTTGGGTAATACTTCTATATTTTATCAAATTATGTCAAACATAATGATTATTTAATACTACTGGTTTGCTGAATGATTTCATACAAGTCAACATTCAGGTGTGTGTATTGTGCTTGTTTGTTGGTTTGTGGGTTGTATGGTACTAATTCTGGTGTTGCATTTGCCAAGCTCTCAAATTATCTTGAGCTCATTGTATTATTGTCTTGTTTGTTCCAGGAGTGTTTGCTCTGAATCTCGTTGCAAGGGATGACATCTTAAAGAAGAACATCTTGGATCGTATCAAGAAGCTGTTTGACCGAGTGCTATCTGTACATATTGAAGACGAAGTGAATGAGATTGTCTTCTGTCTGCGGGGACAAGATGATGGAAACCAGTTGGTGGCAGACGCCAAGTCAATGGCGGCCACCCTCAACAAGGTCATCAAGGCCACGTCTGCTGCAACTGAAGTTGATATTACCGAGGCTCTAGGGACATTATCTTTGGTCGATGACAGCAAACTGTGACACCAGATGGAGGGTAGGTTTCTGTGACAATATTTATTCCATGTGGAACATTGGAGGCCTAATGTCAAGAGTGCGGCAGTGTGATGCGGAGTTATGTCCCTTGCATGTGTTCCAACACTACGTTTAGTCTGATTATCTGTGGGACAAAACACAACAGAACTTAGTATTGATCTTCTCAGAGCATGGATTAAATCTTCCAAGGATATGATACAGATCTTCACAGAACATGATTGTAGCTCTTCACATGACTTGATACAAGTCTTCTAAGGACATGGTGTTGATATTCACAGGATGTGGAATAGATCGTAATAGGACATGATATCACTCTTTACAGAGCAGGAAGAGGCTTTCACAGAAGACTGAGAGATCTTCAATGGACACGGAAGAGATCTTCACAGGGGTAGATCTGAACAATAAATGGTACAGAATTTCATTCTAAATGCTGTAGATATCCATAGTGGTATCAGTTGGACCACAACTTGAAGGTTAACCCCAGAATCAATGTGTATGTAAATGTGAAGGTTAACCCCAGAATCAATGTGTATGTAAATGTGAAGGTTAACCCCAGAATCAATGTGTATGTAAATGTGAAGGTTAACCCCAGAATCAATGTGTATGTAAATGTGAAAAAATGAAATAACCACTTATTATTGAACCAAATAGGAATATGTTCACAGTAGGTCAGATATGGCACCCAGCAGCTGTTCCACTCTTCAGTCCAGGAACAAGTGTTTGAAGCGGCAGAAAGGGGGTACGCACAGTAGTTGGAACAGTGAAATAAATGCATGTGCGGTGCGTGATGAGCATTAACTTAGACTACTGTAGAAACCAACCCTTCTTGTTCTCGGAGTTTCATTTAATGTGCATACCCCCTTATAATACAAACCAATAATAGCGATTTGAAACTATGATCGTTTGTTTAACAACTTTCTGAGATGTTCAGTTGGCAAGGTAAAGTTATGAGGATTCGCAATCTAAATTTCACTTTAGTTGATTTACTGTTTTTGTTTAAAGTGAAATTCATTGGTACGTTTTCACTGGAAACAGACTATAATTACCTCTCACCACAACAACTTTATATTTTATGAGTGCCTCAATCAACTGCTGCCACTTACGAACAAGTATACTGACTCATTGCATGGTAGAGATCTTCACAGGATTAGTAGTGATCTTCACAGGTTGAGTAGAGATCTTCACATCTTAATAGGACATGGTAGAAACCATTATAGGACACTGTAGAGATCTAGAGGAGATAGAATTAATGATCAACTTTTCTCCTGATATTAATCTTAGTTCAGCATTTAGCGCTCATGGGTTGGAGACATGGTTTGTCCTTATAACATTTCCAAGTTTTTCAGGAACATATTGTGTCCATGGATTTCACAAGAGTGGTAAATGTCCGATTTGATCTGTATCTCTTGAACTTCCCTTCCACAATTAGCTGAAACAGTGCTGTGGCTGAAATACTGTTGAAACCATGATTTTCTGTAACACTGCACAAAGTGGCCTCAAACTCCAGGGTTACTCACTCACCCACTGATATTGATATAGTTGTTGCCTGCATCATCTTCAGAGATCTGTACTCTTCCTGGGCAGATTTCTGTACTGTCATTTTCCAATATGTAATACAAAATTCCTTTCATGTTTGTGTCTTGTTTTTCCAATGACATGTGTGAATGAGCAAGAAGTTTTATGCCGCTCTTAGCAGCAACATTCCAGCAATATCACTGGAGGACTCAGGAATCAAACCCAACGTCTCCAGTGACATTTGTAGAATTAGAGTGCCTTGGAGTTTAATGATGGCAGTGTATGAAATAAGTCAAAAATCCAACCAGACATCAGGTCTGGTAACTTCAAAATGTTACCAGCCCAAAATGGATTTAACCAGACCAAATATGGTGAATTTTCTCAGATGTATGGAACATCTGAAATTATTAACCAGACCATCGGGCTGGCTAACTGTAAATTTAGACCGTCCGTCTGAAATTTAGACCATCTCGGGCGGTCGGACGGGCCTAATTTCATACACTGGTGATGGTTACAGCTGTTCCCATCCCTGAAGACCTTACTTCAATTCCTAGAATTGATCTTCAGTAACCCAAGCTTGTCGCGACTAACAGGCTCATTGACTTGGTTGACACATGTCATTGTATCCCAATTGCGTAGATCGATGCTCATGCTGTTAATTGCTGGATTGTCTGGTCCAGACTTGATAATTTACAGACCGCCGCCATATAGCTGGAATATTGCTGACTGCGGTGTCAAACTAACTCACTCACCCACTCAGTTGGCCATATCATGTGAAGTACATTGCTGGTGTCCCCTGGGTACAATGTGTGAAGCCCATTTTTGGTGTCCCTCGCTGTGATATTGCTAGAATATTGCTAAAATTAGCGTAAACCTAAACTCACTCACTCACTCTGAAATGGTACTACTGAAATATTGCTAGAAGCAGCGTAAACGTCTCTCAATTGCGAGCAACTTCCAACCACGTGAGTAGATATATATTAAGAGGTATCGCGCCACATTTGTGGTGCTCTGACGTCATCAGTGAACCTATTGACCTTGTGTCAACAGGGGGTTGAATGGGTATTGTCCTTATGCTAACAGTGGGTTGAAAGGTATTGTCCTTATGTCAACAGTGGGTTGAATAACTATTGTAATCGCGACGCACCTGTGTCAGTAATGTATTGAAATCAAAATGGAATGGGTTCTTTGTACACAGGCCTAGCTAAGATACATAGCGTTCACTGACATGTTCATGTCAGTGAAGGCTATGTATCTTAGCAAACACAGGCCGCACCCTGGTCGCCGCTCCTAGATGCCATTCACTTTTGAGTTGAATGCCTGGTGTACCCGTGTCAATAATGCATTGAAATCGAAATTGAATGGAGGCTTTTTTGTACAATGGCCGCACCCTGGTGCGCCACTCTAGATGGCATTCACTTTTGAGTTGAATGCCTGGTGTACCCGTGTCAATAATGCATTGAAATCGAAATTGAATGGAGGCTTTTTTGTACAATGGCCGCACCCTGGTCGCCACTCCTAGATGGCATTCACTTTTGAGTTGAATGCCTGGTGTACCCGTGTCAATAATGCATTGAAATCGAAATTGAATGGAGGCTTTTTTTTGTACAATGGCCGCACCCTGGTCGCCACTCCTAGATGGCATTCACTTTTGAGTTGAATGCCTGGTGTACCCGTGTCAATAATGCATTGAAATCGAAATTGAATGGAGGCTTTTTTTGTACAATGGCCGCACCCTGGTCATTATAATTCTAGATGGCATTCACTTTGAGTTGAATGCCTGGTGTACCCGTGTCAATAATGCATTGAAATCGAAATTGAATGGAGGCTTTTTTTGTACAATGGCCGCACCCTGGTCGCCACTCCTAGATGGCATTCACTTTTGGTTGAATGCCTGGTGTACCGTGTGTCAATAATGTATTGAAATGGAAATTGAATGAAGGGTTGTTTTTGTACAATGACCGCACCCTGGTCGCCACTCCTAGATAGCATTCACTTTTGACTTGAATACCTCTCAGTATTCAGTTCAAGTACAGACAAGACATTGTTCTGTGACACACCTTCATGTTTTCGCCACTATAAAACTGTTAAAGCTGTGATCTCAGTCTCAGATCCATCGCTCCTGCTTCAAACATATACATCGAACGCAGCTCTACCATCTGATCTACCATCAACGTTAACGCACAGTTCGCTTTTTGAAACTTGTCAGCTCCATCATCAAATATGACCAGTAACTGTTCTCTCAAGCGCTCATCATCAGGGTTTTTTTTGTAGACTACACACGTTATGGTTGAAACCGTACAATCGCTTCTGTGAGCGTAGTGCATGTTATAAAAATATCCCAACTGAGCGTCTCTTAAAAACTATCTGACCTACCTTCAACAGTAGCACAGTTTGGACGTCGTTCAAATATGTTGGAGCAAATACTGAGAAGTCCGCTTCTTACAAACTACCGTATTTCCCCGAATACAACCCAGAATCTAGTTTTCTTAAAGTTACTCCACTCTACGATCACAAACGATGTTCAGGTTGTATTGAAGGAAATACGACAAAAAGGTAATATTTGATGACGACGGAGGCACGTGACAACACTAAACCATCGTAGTAAACATCGAGATATGATTATGTTACTCTCCGACCGGGTCGCTTATCACAACGAAGAAAAAACAGACACCGTTGGATACATTATCAGAGGACAATTTAATGATAACAAAAAAGCTTTAATGATCATCTAGCATATATGAATGCATTAGAGACTGAGTATCCTTGGTGGTCTCCTCGCTCGTTGAGGCCTCCCCACGGGTGGACTTGTTCCATCATCAGGAGGTGGAGTGTCTGCCATCAGACTGTGGGAAGGCTCAGTCGGATCAACACCGTGTAACTTGCGAAAGAGCAGTGGGTCTGGGCGAGGGGAGGTGGGGGATTGACGCTTGGGTGGTGTTAGTGAGTGAGTCACTGGACTGAATGTCCGACGCTGGCACAGAGCGAGAGGAGGCGGGGGTAGTCATTGACACTTGGGTGGTGTTAGTGAGTGGGAACAGCGGTGTCAATAGAAGGGGAAAGCATAGAAGGGAAAGGAGGAATCCGGAGGGGGATGGCACAAGGGGGGATTGCAGAAGGGAGATGTCTGTGCTATGAGAGAGACCAGGAGAGAAAGGAGAAGCACTGGCTGTGGGTTGAGCAAGAGAGGTTGGGTGGGGGCCAGCAGAAGAGAGAAAAAAGAGAGGGTACAGGAGAAGAAGACTGTCCAACAAGCACCTTTACCTGGCAGGTAGATGGTATTTACCTGTCAGTATCCCACACCTGGGATGGCGTGTCGTTACCTGAACTACGGTATACCTCCGTACTTCGGTCTTGACGATAAGGGATGTGCGAGAGGTACAGTGTCAGTACCCGGGGGCCATTGGAACTTTACCATATATTACCATATAAATACAGATATAGGTTACAACATCGAGCATTTTTCTATTTCTAACAATGCCAATACAATTCAGGTATAATGGTGAGTAAATATATATGTGTGTGTGTGTGTGTATCTATATATGGATCTATATATGGCGTATATGGTTAATACATTCAACATGGGTTACATACAATTCTCCTATATCTAACAATAAATATATATATATATATATATATATATATATATATATATATGTATCTAGGTACGCAGGTATACATATTCCCATGCTGCCAATGAAACAATTCATTTCAATATATATGGTTACCAATAAAAATTATTATAATATCTATGGGTAGTTATATTTTGTTTTTTGGGGTTTTTGTGTTTGTTTTGTTTTGTTTGTTTTTGTCGTTGTTTTGTTTGTTTTTATTTTGTTTTGGCTTCCCTGGACGACGCAGTTGGGTAGTTTGGTTTTTTTTTTTGGTACTGTTGGCCCAGCATCCCCAATTGACTGACCCCTAGGTGTCTAAAGCTCCTACCCAAGGTCTATCTGTGAATATTCCCAGGAATACCGGTCCCTACTGACTCCTAATCTCCGGGACTACTTAAACTCTCGTAGGGCGGTAATAATTTGTTAACGTCATGACGTCATATCGGTCTAAACAGTTGCTGGGTGGGAACAACACCGGATGCTCGCGGAGAATGGGCGAAATGGCGTCTGACATTCCGATGAACGGGTTCTCATATGGAACCTTGCAATCCGGGCACTGCTTCACATTCAACCAACATGGTAGTCGTGAGAGCGGCGGACCCCCAGCCAGGTAGGCCTCCAACCCGTTGTTTCGGGGTATAACCAGGCGTATGCATGTTTGCTCCCCTGGTGCCATGTCATCCCGTGCTACCTGGCGGAATTCAGACCCTGCTATTTTCAAAAGTGACCGCACACCATGTGTGTTGAACACGTCGACACCATTTACAGAATGTTACTGGCAGAAATTTCTACGGGTATCGCGGATTGGGAATATTTCCTGAGTACAAAGGGCGCAAAACCTCAGTGCCTCCTTATTGAAGAAAAATCACGTCCTAGTTTCATGGAAGCGGGACGCCTCTCGATTGACACATGTTGCCACCTCATCTCACTGTGGATTAGAGAGGGCTTGCCAAACCCTTGTCCTCGGAATAGGTAGCAGTTGCCAAACGATTTCCACGTAACCTCGTAGTTCCGTACCCATGTCAGTATGGAGTTGAGTTAATTGGAATAAAATGGTCACGTCCCTGTCCCTAAACGCCGCTTTAACGCCTAGGCCCACGAGGACGGGAAAGCCAAAGTACAGGCCATACATCAGGAGTACCGCCGCCCCGATATCCAAAGCCTGATCTATATTTTCTTGGTGGGATGGGTCTCTCGCGGCCAGGCGTGACGGTCTCGCGACTACAAATAGGGCCCTTCTTATTCTGTCAGACAAATCAGGGGGGATGGGCGTGAAAAGAATGGCTGGCTACCAAGAGAAAACGCCTCTCTTTAATTTTCTGCCTGATCGTTTGATAGTAAAGTTTCGCGGATCCCCCATGTTATAAACGTACGAAAACAGGCATTTCAAAACGAGTGAGAAGCGACACAACACGTTCCATAAATTGCAGGGGATACTTACTGGTGGGGGTCGTTGAGAAAAGGCGTCGTCAAGGTAATCTACCAAACGGTGTGGGTTTGATGAAGACATAATAAGGGATAAGTTAACGGGGGTTAGCAGGAATAATATAGGTAAAATATATGAGGGGATAGCCCAATTAAATAACTAGATATGCAACAGAACACCCAATATGCAACGTATTACAATGACAATAAAAATAACCACCCAAAAAATCTCACTATCTCACAATATAATAGATATTTATATGCAACAGTTCCTGGGGTAACACCCCTGTCGAACTGGAATTTTTTTTTGATGGCTGGCTGAACTGGCTTTATTTCCGGTAATCGCCGATAAGCTTGCAAGTGGCCAACAATATCTCGCCAATGCTCTGTCGGTATGAATTGACAGTGCTAGTTAAGTCTCTACATCTGGAAAGGAAAAGAGAGAAATAATAGGTGATATAGCATATATGCAGTAATATATAGTAATAGAGTAGACTTGTGATAATAGGTGATATAGCATATATGCAGTAATATATACGATAGAGAGTAGACTTGTGATAATAGGTGATATAGCATATATGCAGTAATAGATACGATAGAGATAATAGTAGACTATATAGTAATAGCAGTAGACTTGTGATAATAGGTGATATAGCATATATGCAGTAATATATACGATAGAGAGTAGACTTGTGATAATAGGTGATATAGCATATATGCAGTAATATATACGATAGAGAGTAGACTTGTGATAATAGGTGATATAGCATATATGCAGTAATATATACGATAGAGAGTAGACTTGTGATAATAGGTGATATAGCATATATGCAGTAATATATACGATAGAGAGTAGACTTGTGATAATAGGTGATATAGCATATATGCAGTAATATATACGATAGAGAGTAGACTTGTGATAATAGGTGATATAGCATATATGCAGTAATATATACGATAGAGAGTAGACTTGTGATAATAGGTGATATAGCATATATGCAGTAATATATACGATAGAGAGTAGACTTGTGTTAATAGGTGATATAGCATATATGCAGTAATATATACTTGTGATAGATAGAGACGATAGAGAGACTTGTGATAATAGGTGATATAGCATATATGCAGTAATATATACGATAGAGAGTAGATTGTGATAGTAATAGCATATATGCAGTAATATACACGATAGAGAGTAGACTTGTGATAATAGGTGATATATATATATGCAGTAATATATACGATAGAGAGTAGACTTGTGATAATAGGTGATATAGCATATGCATATGCAGTAATATATATAGTAGACTTGTGATAATAGGTGATATAGCATATATGCACTAATATATACGATAGAGAGTAGACTTGTGTTAATAGGTGATATAGCATATATGCAGTAATATATACGATAGAGAGTAGACTTGTGATAATAGGTGATATAGCATATATGCAGTAATATATACGATAGAGAGTAGACTTGTGATAATAGGTGATATAGCATATATGCAGTAATATATACGATAGAGAGTAGACTTGTGATAATAGGTGATATAGCATATATGCAGTAATATATACGATAGAGAGTAGACTTGTGATAATAGGTGATATAGCATATATGCAGTAATATATACGATAGAGAGTAGACTTGTGATAATATGTGATATAGCATATATGCAGTAATATATACGATAGAGAGTAGACTTGTGATAATATGTTATATAGCATATATGCAGTAATATATACGATAGAGAGTAGACTTGTGATAATAGGTGATATAGCATATATGCAGTAATATATACGATAGAGAGTAGACTTGTGATAATAGGTGATATAGCATATATGCACTAATATATACGATAGAGAGTAGGTGATATATCATTGTGATAGATAGACTTGTGATATAGCATATATGCAGTAATATATACGATAGAGAGTAGACTTGATAATAGTTAATAGGTGATATAGCATATATGCAGTAATATATACGATAGAGAGTAGACTTGTGATAATAGGTTATATAGCATATATGCAGTAATATATACGATAGAGAGTAGACTTGTGATAATAGGTGATATAGCATATATGCAGTAATATATACGATAGAGAGTAGACTTGTGATAATAGGTGATATAGCATATATGCACTAATATATACGATAGAGAGTAGACTTGTGATAATAGGTGATATATCATATATGCAGTAATATATACGATAGAGAGTAGACTTGTGTTAATAGGTGATATAGCATATATGCAGTAATATATACGATAGAGAGTAGACTTGTGATAATAGGTTATATAGCATATATGCAGTAATATATACGATAGAGAGTAGACTTGTGATAATAGGTTATATAGCATATATGCACTAATATATACGATAGAGAGTAGACTTGTGATAATAGGTGATATAGCATATATGCAGTAATATATACGATAGAGAGTAGACTTGTGATAATAGGTGATATAGCATATATGCACTAATATATACGATAGAGAGTAGACTTGTGATAATAGGGGATATAGCATATATGCAGTTTATACGATAGAGAGTAGACTTGTGAGAATAGGTGATATAGCATATATGCAGTAATATACACACACACACACACACACTCACACAGTACTTTCTGTGGTTTTTAAATAGATAGGACTTTTAATCTGATATGTATCACGATGAGCGATATTAGTTTGTCTATGTTTTTTTCCACTTTTATATATGAAGACTACAATCACAACCATTATCATAAATACTAATATTGATGTACCTGCCACAAGACCAGGATAATTATCTCCATGATCATGATGATCATCATCATCATCAGCAGGAATGGTAGAGGAAGTTGTAATATGATACTATGAAGCACTAATAGCACTAGCGGTTGTAGTAGCAGTAGTAGAATTATAAGTTGTATTAGAATTAGTATCGAGAATGGTAGTTGGAGCCGTAGTAGCAGTAGTAGCTATAGTAAAAGTATTAGCAGGAGTAGCAGTAGCAGCAGCAGCAGTAGTAGTAGTAGTAGTAGCTATAGTAAAAGTATTAGCAGGAGTAGCAGTAGCAGCAGCAGCAGCAGTAGTAGTAGTAGTAGTAGCTATAGTAAAAGTATTAGCAGGAGTAGCAGTAGCAGCAGCAGCAGCAGTAGTAGTAGTAGTAGTAGCTATAGTAAAAGTATTAGCAGGAGTAGCAGTAGCAGCAGCAGCAGCAGTAGTAGTAGTAGTAGTAGCTATAGTAAAAGTATTAGCAGGAGTAGTAGTAGCAGTAGCAGCAGCAGTAGCAGTAGTAGGAAGAGTGGGAGGGTGTGAAGGAAAGGTGGTTTTAGCAGTTGTAGTAGCAGAGAAAGGTGACAGAGGAAAAGTAGTTGTAATAGCTGAAGTAGTTGTAGTTGTTGATGCTGTAGTGGGAGTTGTAGTAGCCGTAGTGGGAGTTGTTGTAGAGGGAGTTGTAGTAGCCGTAGCGGGAGTTGTTGTAGTGGGGGCTGTAGTACTCGTAATAGGCGTAGATGGAGTTGTAGTAGTTGTTATTGTAGTGGGAGTTGTAGTAGTCGTAGTGGGAGGTGTAGTAGTCGTAGTAGCCGTAGTGGGAGGTGTAGTAGTTTGTTGTAGTGGGGGCTGTAGTACTCGTAGTAGCCGTAGTGGGAGGTGTAGTAGTTGTTGTTGTAGTGGGAGTTGTAGTAGTCGTAGTAGCCGTAGTGGGAGGTGTAGTAGTCGTAGTAGTCGTAGTAGCCGTAGTGGGAGGTGTAGTAGTTGTTGTTAGTGAGAGTTGTAGTAGTGGAGTGGTAGGTGTAGTCGTAGTAGTCGTAGTAGCCGTAGTGGGAGGTGTAGTAGTTGTTGTAGTAGTCGTAGTAGCCGTAGTGGGAGGTGTAGTAGTTGTGGTTGTAGTAGTCGTAGTAGCCGTAGTGGGAGGTGTAGTAGTTGTAATAGTTGTCGTAGTAGCCGTAGTCAGGTGTAGTAGCCGTAGTGGGAGGTGTAGTAGTTGTTGTAGTAGTAGTCGTAGTAGCCGTAGTGGGAGGTGTAGTTGTTGTAGTAGTCGTAGTGGGAGGTGTAGTAGTAGCCGTAGTGGGAGGTGTAGTAGTTGTTGTAGTGGGGGTTGTAGTAGTCGTAGTAGCCGTAGTGGGAGGTGTAGTAAGGATGTAGAGGTAGTAGTTTTACTAGAAGTTGTAGTTGTCGAACTTGTAGGGGATGTTATTGTAACAGTTGTAGGTCTAGTACTTGTAGGTGTAGTACTTGTAGTAGAAGTTGTATTGGAAGGTGACCAATTTTCTGAAGTACAATAAAACACAATAGTAATGAATGTAGAATATGTTGTTTTTATAGCGCTCACATCCACACAACTACATGCTCAACACGCCAGTGTTTCCCTTTAATCTGTTAGATGCAGCGAGTTATCACACGACATCATCCCCACAATGTATCCATTTACAGCTGTGTGAACTGGGTATATAGTCACATTATTTTATTCCAATGATACTACACCTTACTATAGCCTGTACACTAAGGGGTTGTGTCAGCACTGAAAGAGTCTACAAGTAATGTTAAAGCCAAGGTTTTTACATCCCTGTCACAAGTGGGGATCGATCCCGACACTTATCGCTATACCAGCACAGCGTCATTAGACACTTCGCCCACCACGCTCCTTTTAACACAAGCGGCATCAACATCGTGATGATGTTGAGCAAATATAACTAACAAAGCATGGGAATTGTATGAATGAGTCATTGAATGAATATTCATACAAGATAAAATTACCCACGCAATATTCACCATTTATGTACTTACCGCGACATCTTTCACCATTGACGAAAACCGTCTCTACAGCAGCTCCCTGCAGGTCTGAGCAACGCGCTCCCTCGCCTTTGATGTACTGAAATTAGATGGTCATCACAGCATTTCATCGATACATTAGTTGTTAACATCGATCAAATATATATATATATATATATAAACTATATGTTTTGTATGTGTGTGTGTATGTGTGTGTGTGTGTGTGTGTGTGTGTATGTATATATATATATATATATATATATATATATATATATATAAATAAACAAGTGATTTCTGCAGGTGTATAAGAAAGTTAGTGACAATAGCGGGAGACGTAAGTGCTATTGTCACTAACTGCTTAACGTCATACGCATGATGACGACATAGCTATTACCGTTATGTGTCGCCTATGACGACACTCAGCTTTCATTGTACACCTGAAGAGCCGTTGAACGGCGAAAGATGTTGTGCAGATATAAAGGAGATTTGACAAGAAGAAATATCTGGACTCATATTTTAAATATATATTTAATAATGAATATGGTAACTTGTAAATACTTACATGTTACAGCAGATGTTGATAATCTCTCTCAAACTGTGCTTTCTCCAGGCCTGCTTCGCCGTCAATTAAAAGCTGAATGGTTTGTTTTATTTCGTCCAGATCTAGGATAGAAATGATCGGACACTGACGACTTTGAATACTGAGAGTTCTCTGATCTCTATCAAAGGTGAATAATGTGTCGTCAATGGTTCCTGTTATTCCAAAGATCTTGCTCCTTCAGAAAGTTGATTAAAATCCACTTAAGTTGATTTGTTACGTTGTAAGATTAAACTTGTTGGGTCTGTGAATTGTCGCCGATTCGGAACTGAAACTTAGTTCTTCACACACAGACGACTTGGATTGTTTCAACATGGCAGCGGCCCACGCTATAAAGACGCTATAATGACCTAGTTTCACGCATGCAAGGATGCGAAGGGGGATTCCCACAGTGACGTTATTAGCGTGGGGGTAGCCTCTCGACTTCAGGGGAGTAGGGGTTGGCTCCCATGTGCCTAGTCTGTCGTACAGACCCTGAAGCAAATATATCCAAGAAAGCCCACGCAAGTCTAGAAAATGTGTCAAGAAGAAAGTCTCAGGGCTCCTTTTCATTATATTATATATTTTTTACTATGAACTCTTTTCAGTAGAATATGTTCATTTCAGAGACTAGTTGTTAGTCTACCATGTGCCGTGTGCCGGGAGTCACTGTGAAGAGCCAGTCACCGAGAACCTGGGGAGGGTTGGGTTACCAAGACTGGCGGCAAGTCTCCGTCATTGTATTCCCAGGCTGTGGCTGGAGGTAATTCGACCCCTCTGTATCTCACCAGCTGTCTTACCGAAATCTCGCGCCGACGTTTTACCTGAAGTGAAAAACCTTTGCAATGTTCCACACTTCGTGACACATATATCGTGTGTTTATCATAATTATTGGTTAAATATCTCGTTTTATCAGCAAAGCGTGAAATGTATTATTTGTTTAAGGTTGATAACACGTATATGACCACATTCTATGTGTTCTGAGAACCTTCACATCAATTCTAATTAGTCCAGAATGCACTGTTTCCAGGCATATTAGCTAAATACAATATCTAATGAAGACTCCCAACCATAACTTCGGTCATATTGTGTGGTTTCCAATCAAGCAAAAACATTTGCCCGAAATAATTAAACAATGTAATTATTACTTATTCCTTTTTAACATACATATTAGACCTTTTTTCACAAATGCACCCTAGTCACGGTAATAACTATGTATCGTGTTGTAATGTAGAGCCACCTACTATACTGAGCAGCAAAAGAAACGTCAGGAATTTTCCTTCGCAGAAACGGATAACTGTAAACTCATTTAATGTTTTGATTATATATTTTTGACAACATCTCCAACTTTACCTGAGCAAAGACATTCCTTCCCAAACTCAGATTGGAACCCATGAAATGGTCTAAAAAACACAACCTGATCTCGGAGATGGTACAATACGGTGTTCTCCATGTTTTTAATGCAACTCATGCTGCACGTGCTGTTCACGAGGACCAGCCCTATAAAATGCACCCCAAACCTGGTTGAAACATTCACATTACAACGTCAGCAGGATGCCGCGACTCACGACAGCTCAGAGGAACCAGGCGCTAGGAAGACTTGAAGCTGGCCTCACTGCACAAGCTGTTGCCAATCACTTCCTGGTCAACGTGCGGACCATCTACAGGCTGCAGCAACGTTTCCGGGCCACCAACACCCCAAATGATCGCCCCCGTACTGTGAGACCAAGAGTGACCTCAAGATGACAAGACCGCCATGTTGTGCGACAGCATGTACAGAATCCCTTCATGCAGGCATCCGAAACAGCACGCCAGACAGTGGAAACACACGGAAGACCAATCAGTACTGATACAATGACGTCTTAACAGCGGGAACCTCGATTGGACCTACCTTCACCCCTCGTCATCGGCGTGAACGTCTACAGTTTGCCCTACAACACCCAAACTGGCGATACAGATGAGAGTCGGTACTGCGTATCAACTGCAGATGGCAGAACAAGAATATGGCGACGACGTGGATAGGGTTACTCAGACCAATGTGTTATGGAAAGAGACCCATGGGCAGTTGCAAACATTATGGTATCGGGTGGAATTGGCCTGAACCAGAGAGTGGGTCCTATGGTGTTCCAGAACTTGGTCCAGGGGAGAGGAGGCGGCATCACAGCGATGCGCTACATCGACCAAGCTCTCAGACCCCACGTCATACCACATTTCGCACGTCACCGGAACAACATTTTCCACCACGATAACGCCCGGGCCCATACTGCACAGGACTTCCTACAGGACAACGGTGTCAACATTATGCAGAGGCAAGCCCTTGGTCCTGATTTAAACCCAATTGAACATCTTTGGGATGAAATTCAGAGGAGACTGAATAATGTCATACCAAGGCCCAACACAGCCGATTTATTGCGCCAGGCCTTTCTCAGAGTTTGGTTCCAGGTGCCAATTTGGCCTTCATCAATCGATTGGTGCACTCCATGCATAGACGCTGTACTGCAGTTATTGCCGCTCGTGGTGGTCACACTAGATACTGAAGTCAAGAGTCTGAATGGACTGCTAACGTTCACGTAATGTCATGGAATTGTGCTGAGTTATTCATTGATGTATCAGGATATTGTACACCAAAAAAGTTTTTGATCCGCTTATTATGCCCATTTCTGTAATGATTTGATTACAGTGCCTATCTAATTTTGAATTCGTACTGACGTGGGTTTTTTTGCTGCTGAGTATATATTTACTATATACATTACCGAATACAGGGCGCATCAACGCTCATTTGGTGATGTGTTAGAGTATGTTGATCGTAAGTGAACTAGTGCATGACGTTGTGTACATTGGAACCTGTATCATGATTAATGCAGTATGTATCGGCACATATAATAAACACAAAGGGTATTTGGGAGTACCTGAACTTGGAGTGAAAGTATAATAGTGCACAAAACATGGTCCTCTGCATGATCCTTATAACTACAGGCATAAGAAAATAATAACAAGATATGTGAAAAACAAGCAGGTGCTTGTATACAATGGGTACACTCTATGTTGCCTTTGACTTCACAATAGCTTTTAAAATAAACGTTTACATGTTCTAAACAACGTGGTCTCCCTGTTAATATGTTGAATGTGAAATGTCATTATTACATTCTTTAACGCCCGATACATTCTGTTACAAATGGCACATTTTGTATTCAAATTGTCAATATGGAAATTCACCTGCCACTTCATGTCAATGATTTGCACGTGCAAGTCGCTCTATCCATGGAAAGTGGAGGTCAGCGCACATGCATTGGTGCTTTTTCACTGTCGTTCACCGTTCAGGCAGCTTATCATGAGACGGTTTTTGACACTTGTTGAAAGGGGTCAGACTACAGGCCTTTTGTATTATGGTCAAACTCAGCGGCAGGTTGTTGTCCGTTTTAACGTGAGTCATGGTGCTGTTGGTTGACTGTAGCAGAGATTTCAAGCCAATGGGTCTGTGGAATATGCACGTCGACCAGATCGTCCCAGAGTCACAACAGTTCAAGATGATCGGCACAAGATGAACACTGCGTTACGTAACAGATTCATTAACGCAGCAGATCTTCACACAGAACACTGTAAGGATATCCAGGAGCACCGTTCCTCGACGGTGTCAGCCCGGTAAAGCCACATTTGAAAATTACTAATTGCCGCTAAAGCCACATTTCAAGTGCAAAGCTCGGTGCCGCGATTTGCCGCGAAAGCCACAATTACTAAGGGAATCAATACCTTTTTCTTTCAAATAAGCGTCACCCATTGATCTCAATTGATTAAAATTGTTTAAGTGACTTGTCCTTTGTTTGTTTAGTTAACATATGATGGGCGGCTTCTTTATTCTCGTTCAAGCTTTTAGTTAACACTAATAATCTTTTTATGTTTATTTTGTTCTTTAATCTTGCATTCTCTACTTTTATAGTACATTGTATTATCTTAATTCCTATGTATAGAATCTGTTCTGAGATAAAAATGATACATGCTAGAAAATTTAGTAAATTCTATTTGTATTTTTTATGTCTTCATGTAAACTACTTTGGTTTGTATGATTGGCATATAATAGGTTGGACAAGAATTTTCAATAAACCTTATTGTGACCTTTCAACTTTAAATGAAAATGTCATTACCGCAACGCCGGCAAAAATACTGATTTCGGAAAATCTAGTCATAGATTTTGCTTAAAACAGCTTCGAAATTGAAAGAGTTGTTAGGCGTCACGTAGGTGACTATTTGTAAGTATATTTCTGCAATAAATGATCATTCTAAATTGTCTTGTCAGTGCTTAGCAAGAATGTAAACATAATAACAGGGGCAACAACAGCTCTCATCTGAAACAGTTATCAGGAAAGGATAAAACATTGAATTCCTTTGACCTTCCCATAAGTTAATATGCTTCAAAGAAATACGTGGTTGTAGAATCATAAATAATTCGTAAAATATGTTTCAGTACCCACGCGAGACAGATAGTTTGCATGATCTGGCCCCGATGTCTCAAAACAAAATTAAGTCTGAGTTTTCAAATAGTAGAAAACGCAGGAAAATGCATTTCCCAGAATAAACTGAAATTGATATTGAACTTAAATTTAGTTTACAATCACAGTTGGGTACATAGGTTTCTTGAGTTGTTTTGGCTTTTTGTTCTTAGAAATGTTGAAAACTGAGTAAAACTTAAGTTTGTTTCGAGCAATTGGGCTCTGTAATTTGATATTTATTATTTACGGTAACATGGATTAGCTAATAGCTCATTGCCGGGAGAGCCACATTCATGCTATCAGTCAACCATTCCCATTGCCGTTTGAGCCACACCATTTTCAACTCTGTTTTTTTTCAAATGTGGCTTTCCGGGCTTTAACCGACTCCGCTGTATGCGACCTGCGGTTCGTCCACCACGAACACCACGTCACAGGTAGGCGCGTTTGAGATGGAGTAGACATCATGGCCGCTGGAATCAACGTCAATGGTCCCGTGTGCTCTTCACAGATGAAAGCAGATTCAATTTGTCCTTCCATGAGGGTCGACAGACTATTTATCGTCGCAATGGAGAGCGAATCACAGATGCAACTGTGGCCACGCATAACCTATTTGGCGGGGGGTCGGTCATGGTTTGGGCAGGGATAACTCCTACTGTACGTACTCCACTGCACGTGGTCGACGGTAATCGTTAATATCATAATACATCAGGTGAGATTCGGGTTGGGACGGGTCGAAATCGGACATGCGTTTGTTGTTGGCTTGGGCGTGGATGGTTGATACTAGCCACGCCCCCTCTCACCGCATTGGAGACAAAATTGTACATGTCTGGATCGGTCATGAGATCAAGGGTGACCCCTGTCTGTGTTAATCAATCTTTATTCCGGTACTGAAAAGGCCCTCAGGCCTATAGTACA